CATTTTAGGTACGTTTACAAACAGCTGAAAGTGGTCAATATAAAGGTATGCTTGATGTCGCAAAAAAAGCAATTGCAACAGATGGATTTACTGGGTAAACATTTCACTATTAATTATTATTTTTCTATTAATTTTATTAATTTTAATTACATGAAAGAATTTATTTAATAACATTCTTCAATCTTATCATTTATAGATTGTATAGGGGAATGGGACCTCCATTAGCAGGTGTTACTCCAATTTTTGCAGTGAGTTTTTGGGTATGTATATTCTTTCTTTATGACTACATTGAAATATATGGTAATTTTTAATTATCTTTTATTTTATTAATTATTAAATTATTTTTTTATTTTTTATTTTAATTATAGGCTTATAATCTTGGTAAAAAGATTATATATTTCGCAACGCCTAATCGTAAATCACAAGATCTTAGTTTAACCGAATATGCAGTGGCAGGGTTTATTTCGGCAGGTCCAACAACATTATTTATGTCACCAGTGGAAAGAATAAAAGTTTTATTACAAATTCAAGGACAAGGAGGTGAAGGAGCAACCAAATATAAAGGACCTATTGATGTAATTCGTAAATTACATAAAGAAGGTGGTATAGGTAGTATTTATCGAGGAGTAGGAGCAACGTTCATTCGTGATGCGCCAGGTTCGGCAGCTTATTTTTGGGCTTATGAATTTACTAAAAGACTTTTAACTCCACCTGGCGCTTCACCTGATTCTTTGAATCCTTTATCAGTTTTATTTGCAGGAGGTAACTTTTATTACAAAAAATAATTTAATTTTGAATTTACTTAAACTTAATTAATAATAATTATTAAACCTTTATTTTATTATTTAGGTATGGCAGGTGTTGCAATGTGGACAATTGCAATTCCTCCAGATGTAATTAAATCACGTATACAATCTGCACCAGTTGGTACATATAGTGGATTCATGGATTGTTTACGAAAGACACTCAGAAGTGAAGGACCTAAAGCATTATTTAAAGGTATTGGACCCGCGTTTTTGAGAGCATTTCCAGCAAATGCAGGTGCATTCTTAGGTTATGAGGCTAGTTTAAAATTAATGAATAACCTTTGGTGATAAATACAGTATAGAAATTTATCCTTTAGATTTTTTTTTTTTTTTTTAAAAAAAAAACAAATATTTAAACATGTATAGATCTACACACATACTTTCAAATGCAAATATAAAATATAAACAAATTAATTAATAAATTAATAAATAAATAAATAAATCACAATTCCATAAATTTTATAACTTTCATTTTTATTTATCCTATTTATTTATTTATTTAAATTAATGCTATAAAAAAGAAAAAATATGAATATATAATAATACATAATAAGTATACATCTAATTACAAGAAGATTTTAACAACCCCATCTCTATCTGCACTAATTAACATTGGATTAGGTATTTCTGTAATCTTTAAATCTGTTATACAATCTAAATGATTTACAAGTAATTGTTGTTGTTGGGTAAAAATTAATTGATTTTTACCATTAATTTGTTTACCATGTTTTGATGTCGATGAACGTTTACCTTTACTATTACTACTACTACTACCACTACCACCACTAGAATTATAATTATTTATTTGTGAAGAAGAAGGCGAATTTGAATTATTACTACGATATGAAGGGCGTGATTCACAATGAATATTTACCCCATCAAATTGTGTCGTACTATAAAATTAAAAATTTATTAGTGTTTTTTATTTGATAGATCAAAATCATTTATTAAAAAAATTTTTACCTATACACAGGTTTATTTTCTTCCATATCAGAATCAACAATTATATAAGAATCTTCTATATGATTATTATCCCAAAATCTAATATTACGATCAGATCCACCGGTAATCATATAATTACATTCAGGTGAATAAAGAACTGCACGAATTGAATTATCTGACGAGAAACTACTTTCATGAGCTGTAAATGTACTCCTTAGTATTTCACCTGATCCAGGTGGGTCAGTTGCCTATAATATATAATTAATATTATTATTAATAGATTTGTTATAATATTTTTTTACAAAATTAAACAAAAAATCAAAATATATACAATTATTTACCTTAAAAGTATCCGTAGAAATTCCTCCAAATTTTTCATCCCCATTTTTTATAGTATAAACTTCTTTACATTCAATTTTTTCTATATCCCAAATTGATACTTCATTCTTTCCTGCTGCAACAATTACCCACCATTTTTGCTTACTAGATCCAGCTTGTGGATGTAATAAAAGTTTAATAATTCGACTTTTTGTATGATGAACCCAGGATCTTATTTGAATTCCAAATCGAAGATCCCAAAGTGTGAGGATCCCCCGAGATGTACCAATAAGTAACCATCTATATTTTTTATCCGTTACCATGGCTGTTATTACTCCGTGACTTCTTGGATTGGTAAATTTCCATACCACTTGCATCGATCGTAAATCTAATCCACATATATTACCTTTAGATGTTGCGTAAAGTAAAATTGATTCGGTACCTAAAATTAATTAATTAATTAATTAATAAATATTGAATGAATAAATAAAATAAAAAATAAAAAATTTGAAATAATCCAAACCAGTATCGTAATGCTCCATTACTACTGCATATTCATTATCTAAATATGTCTCTCGTACTATTACAGGTTTACCATATTTTGGTGAATTAACTCCAGCTGAATAATCAATTCTGAATACATGAATACTTCCATTATCTGATGCGGTTGCAATACTATGCGTACTATCAATAAATGTCATGCATTTAATTTTTCCCTCTATATAAAGAAATATATTTTATAATAGTGAAAAAAAAATATATATTTAAAAGAACATTTTTTTTTAATTATAAAATAGATTGATTGATTGATTGTTAATATTAATTACATACCTTGTTGACTATAAGTTATTCTTGATCGACAATTGAAATTCTTTACAAATCTTGAACAATCCCATATTTTAATTGTTCCATCATCCGAACAAGTTGCAAAGAAATTATGATCTGGAGAAACACAAATTTGATTGACAGCTGCTTTGTGCTCTGTCAAATGTGCAACCAATGTACCTATTAATATATTGAATATCGATAAGTATATTAAGTATAATTTACAATTGAATAATTATCGGGAACACTAGTTGAACCTTAAATGAACACATAAGAAATAAAAAGAATATAAACCTTCAGGTCTCCAATTAGAAATAGTTTTAATCGTGTTCGCTCCTTTTGCGTTACGTCCTGGACGTGGAACCACAGCTTTTGCAACTTTTGGACCAAATTCTATAAAATAATAATATATTATAAATATATTATTTTACAATAATATAATAAAATATTGAAGTTTGGTCTTATCGTTATTACCTGGCATTGGTTCGGGGAATGCCTCAAGATATAAATTATCCAACAAGTTTTTAATATTGCGATCGTTACCCTCTAAAATAAACAAACAAATTAAATCAAAGAAAAGAAACGATAAAATTAATAATAAAGCAAAACATTGAAAAAAAATAATTGAAAATTCCAAAATCATCAAAAAATTAAAATAAAATACCAACCATATGTATTAGATACGAATGCACTAAGATTTCTTCTTGATATTTCAGATTCATTATTAATAATTGTTTTACCATTTGTGTTTGTTTCAAGTGTTCGAGCAGAAGAAACAGCAGGAAGAGGTATTTCCATAGTACCTACAACTGTTGTTATATTTGTACTAGTAGCGGGTGCTGCTTTAGGACTATCCGCTGATCTACCAACTAATGACATATGTCTTTCTCGAAAAGGTGGAGCTATGGCTGACTTGTTTGTAACGTTAATTGCAATTGGTGCAGGAACATGTTTTCTATTAATTGTCGTTGGTGATTTTGGTAATGTTTTTGGTGTTTCTGTTGTTGTTGTTGTTGTCGTTGTTGATGTTGATTTTATTTCATTATCTTTTGTATCTTTGGTATTATTGATAGTAGATGAAGATGATGAAAGTGAAGATGATGATGGCTTGTTAACTAAATTAATTCGAGCTTCTCTTAAACTAGTAGATATTAAACGAGCTTGATCTTCTGCTCGAAGATTTTGTAAATTGCTTTCACTAGAAACACGAGATGCTGATGAAGGCTCAGATAATGAAACTTTGCTACCTTTTGCACTAGAAATACGATATAAATTACTAAAACGAAAAAAATAATAATAATAATAATAAAAATAAATAACTGATAAATTAATCAAAATATCAAAAATGAATGATTCATAACATAAATTACCTTGGTGTCCAGACGACATTCTGTAATTAATATAATTTGAAAAAATAAAAAATTAAATTTGTAAGGTACAAAAAATCCAAAAATCGAATATTTATTAAAAATTACCAACCGTTTTTGGAAGAATGTAATTAGTACCAATTGCATTTCCTTCGGCGTTCGTAGGTATTACAAATACATTGTGGGGAGTTATTCCCAAATTTTTCAACGTCATATTTCCATCCTGTTAATAATAATTAATTAATATTATATTAATAATTTTAATTATTGTATAATTCTAAATTTATTGACTATTTAGGGTTATTTTTTAGGATTAGACAGTATTTATAAAATAGATATATCTCCTGTCCTAATATTATTTATAATTTTAATTATATTCAAATTTACCTCTAATTTGAGATTTTCATCAGTTTTTGCGCGAGTACTTTAAAATAATAATAATAATTATAATTATTATTATTATTATTATTATCATTATTATTAAATAACTACAATTTTTAATTATCAAAAGATTATAACTTACTTAAGTCTTGAAATCGATAACTTGTAAACATAATCTCTCATTGCAGCAATTTTTTCCTCATCCTCACGAGACATCCCAAGTTTTCTAATTTTTTCCAAATGTTGTTCATCTCTGAATGTAAATGAAATAATAATAATAAAAAAAAACAAAAATTAATAATTGAAATAATTAATAAATTTGTTTTTTTTTTATTTATGAAAAAATAAAAAAAAACTTACTCTTCCGACTTAACAATTTTATCAGCATTTACGGCTAACGTCGAAGTTCTTCGTGATAATAAATTAGTTATACTAGCATTACCGGATACTGTGGCTGAAGCAGTTTTATTTGCTTTACGTTCTTTAGCTGGTTTCCAAAATAATGTTTTATTAGATTTTCCTGCCCAACTGACGGCCGCATCATATACAACTCTTGGAATCTATGAAAAGGAAATTATTATTATTATTAAATACTCCCCCCCCAAAAAAAATAAATAGAAATATAGATATAAATAAATATAATCACCGGATCTTTAACATTCTCTAATAGATGAATCTCGGTGATTTCAGCAATATCAGCTTGTAAAAATGGTCTTATTATAGGGTAAATAATACACCATACATCAGTTGTTGGTAAAAGTTTCGCAGCAGAAGCAATGAATGCGATAGCACCTTTTTTATATAACAATTTTCGTAAATAATATACATAATAATAAGTATTACTTGGATCAAAATTAAATGTGATTAAAAAAGATAAATTTAATAATTTTAATAATTTAGCCCACCATAACGTATCCATATTCCAGGATGACACATTAATGAAGCTACAATTGCAATCAATTCCCATAATCTCAATTTCTGGAATAATCCTAATTCAGCCAGACTTGTTAAAGAATTAAGAACTTTTTCTACGACAAATTCTTCAGAATCTAATTTAAATAAAAAGTTATGACTAATAATGATGATGATGATAATAATAATAATAATAATTTAACATAAATACCGGAAAGTGACTGAATCATTAAAGGCAATATATATTCTTCCAAACTTAGACCCCCAACAAAAGTACCAACGCCAATTATGCTTTCGAAAAAGGCGCTGCAATGAGAGATTATGTTTACAAGTTATCGATTTCAAGACTTA